ATTTTCTGGGACTTGACATGAAGGAGTTAGTGACTCTTTGGAGTCGAGTAACTGGTATAGCTCATCGGTAGGGCTTTATCATCATGACCTTTAGATCTGTTCTCTGTGCGTTCTCCAACTTTGGTTGGCTTGGATAGGTGACATCACATAAATAGCCGATGTTCACCGCAGGGCATGTGAATAATAAGGTTTATTTATTAAATTTTAATACACTATAGTGCTGTACTGCGCAGATAGCTAGTCTTCGTTGAGACAGGCTGCCGAGACCGAAATTCGGTCTGGAGGATATTATTATTATTATTACCACGACAAAGATTGGCCTTAGATTACCGGTAAGGCTTTATCAAAATAACTTTTAGAACTGTTCTCTGTGCAACTGAATCGTGGTAGTTTTAGATGAGTCACCCCAAACTATTATATATATTTTATATTATTGGTTGGCTTGGATAAGTAGCATATTAATAAATTATTTTATTTTTATATTTTATTTATTTAATATTTCAAACAGTATAGGATCAAAAGGCGAACTTTTTTATAAAGTAAGGGTGATAAATGAGCACATAGTTCACCTGATGGTAAGTGCTAAGATCCATAGACATCTACATTTATCCTCGATTAACAATTAAAATGCATACATTTTTTTTAAATATGCGTTGTAACCTCTGAGAACTAAGATAGAATGCCTCGTTTCCAGTAAAAATGGTCTCCGGTTCTTTATACTCACCATGCGAAACACAGCAGCATGAAGTTGATGGACCGCCAATCATCCAGATGGTATGGATGGTATCGCGAGTTTTGTCGCGATGTGCGATGGTGAAATTCAGCGGCTGGAATAAGTCTGAACAATTCCTCAGAGCAGTCCCAGTGGTAGATGCGATAAAATACGCAAAGAAATGCAACAGCGCCGGTGAATCGAGCCGATCGGAAAGGACTCAGTCGTCGACGATTCGAGCCGCTCTGCTCTGCGATCAAGCGGAAGGAGCTGGCACTGGGGAGCCCCAGCCCAGATATGGGAATAGTATTCCATGTGAGGCCGACTTCGTTTTACCATCTATTATGTGTTCCGTGCCAAAATAAGCAAAACAGGACACTTTTTGGATCACCTCGTTGTCTGTCCCTATGTCCATCTGTCATAAATGTTCCTAGAGACTATATCACGTAGGTAATTAAAATGTGGCATAGTTGTATCAGTTACCCAAATCGGACATGAAGTTTAAAATTCAAATATTCTATGTACTTTTTTACGTGGTAGAGTTAGTAGTATAGTTGTAGCACGAATGGGTCGGCTCGACCGGGGAAGTATCACGCTCTCACAGAATAGCAGCGTTAAATAGCAGCTTAACGCTAGTGTGTTTGGTATAATGAGTGTAGAGAAAGACCCTTTATACTGAAAACGTGGCATTCCATCTTAGTCCTCAGGGGCTACAATGCATCAGCATTTTGATTCGTAATCGAGGATGGATGTAGATATCTAGGAGCCACAGCAACCACTTACCATCGGGTGGACCGTGTGCTCGTTTGTTACTCTTATCCTATAAAAATACAAGGGTATTGGTTTTGGAAAACGGGAAGCCAATAAATATTTAGTTTAATATGAACTGAATCTGAAATCAGTGAGATAACTCAATCGAGGAGAGGTAGGGTTATAATGTCGTCTTGACAAGGTCACACTATCCACTCTCATTAAATTTGGTGTGTGATTTAGCCGTTATCGTCGCCTATAGGTGTGGGTGATAAACGACTCAAAGCCTTTATAAATATTACAGGTGTATTATTCTAATACTGCTCTATTACGTGAAGAAAATCACATTCATAGTAAAATGAAACACTTATTAATAAATCTGATGCTTTTATTATGTTTTGCAATACTAAGTACTATTATAAAAATAAATCAAATTAATTTTTTTATCATAATTTACTTCTTTTCCAATTCAAACTCTAACCTACAGATTATCTACTGTAAGTGAATATACATATTTGGTCGGGTTTGGAAGATACATTAGTGTTACATCTTTATTTTAACATCTGAATATGTCGCCTTCTAGTCGTCATGCATGGGTGTCATAATGAAATGGAATATAAAATAAAACAATTATTTAAAAAAATATTATGTCATTCATCGAATACTGGCCCGTGTAGGTTCAAATATCCGTACTACAAGTCACCAGGCCTCTCCAATTTTACAAGACACTTCATATAATATACAGAGATAATTTTGTTATGGAAATTATATTACATTTATATTTTAGATTTGGATACAAAGAAATAAAAAATAAAAAGCATATATGTATGTAAGTGAGTATAGCTATGCCCGTGCGTATATTTGTGTATATTTATGTTACAAATATTATTTTGTACGTAGTGTAGCCACGATGCAGCTAAATTATGGTTGTAGCACGAATAGGTGGAACCATTCATGCATCATCTATCTTCTCTATTGAAATTTGCAATTTTTTTTTAAATTTCAATAGTCTCGCGCTAACGCAAGCAAAATGTATTTCTTACAATAAGTCAAATATTATTTCTTTTTAATTATACTTCTTTCGGGCGTTTGGGAAGAATGATGAGAGTGAAATTATACGATGCGCGCACACCGACACCTAAAAACGGCACCATGAAGTTGTTACAATGCGCGCGCACACTGACACCTAAAAGCGACAACTTCAGTAGGTAATTGTCTCTCCAGTTTTTTTTTTTGTTTTGTTACGCTAAAGAATACTATAAAAATATAATATTATAATAAGCGTAGTGATTATATACTCTTTGATTATAACTTCCTACGTGAGTATATAAGTACAAACACACTTTTTTTAATCTACAGAATCTATAGCCGTTTTGAAATGAGATTTCTCTGATTAGAAAAAAAAAACTGCAAAATAAACTTCTCCAATTTGTGTTGTTATTTATTTGTTTTGCCTTCAAACCAATAGTGGCCAGTTTTCCCGCTGTGCCGTATCATAATCAGAAATGCTTTCAACTGTATTAAGCCGGCGTTTGTACTTTATTTACGTTGGTTCTTGCAGTTGTGCGCCGAAAATTGGATCGAAAAATCATATAGCTGAGCAAATTTATAAAAGTTTGTTATTATAACAAATATCCAGAGTAAGAGAGCGCAATGCCATACAAATTTCTTAGTTCGTAGGATCTCCTTGAACTGTAAAGGCTTTTAAATACTTGTCACAAGAAATTGAACGTCGTGTATTTTTTTATAGGAGTGGTTACAAACGAGCACACTGCCCACCTTATGGTACTCGCTGTCGCCCATAGACATGCATGTACGTGAAGTTTATTTAAATATTTTTTTTTTTGCTAGAAAACATGTAAATATTGCGACCATTGGCTAGGGTGTCATTCAACGTTCGGACCTTACCATAAAAAGAAATGACTGCCCTCAGCTGACTCTCTGAAAAGTGAACAAGTGTTTTATTCGTCCTAAAAACGCTAGGTAATCTATCTACAACGAAAGTTTTATTTTAATATTTCTATAATAATGTCCTCCACACCAAATTTTCGCCAGTTTCCTGGTTCAACAGAGACTAGCCATTTGCGCAGGACAGGATTATAGTGCACGAGTGTGTGCACAAACACAGGTCCACTCTCTATTCCCTCTCTCTCATAGTCCGGTACTTTTCTCGTCCAGCAACCTTGCAGCCATTGTCATAATACTGCTATTTTACCAGCGTAAAATAGCAGCTTAACGCTACTGTGTTTCGTATGGTGAGTGTAGAGAACCGGATACCCTTTTTACTGGAAACTAGGCATTCCATCTTAGTCCTAACGAGTGACAACACATCTGCATTTTGATTCGTAATCGAAGATAGATGTAGATGTCTATGGGCCACAGCAACCACTTACCATCAGGTGGACTGTGTGCTCGTTTGTCACGCTTATCCTATAAAAAAATATTTATTATTCATAATATAAATAATATAATGAAATAATTTAATTGTAGTGGAGTAGTAGTTTTAATTGTACCTATAATATTTATGTACGGGTATTTGTGTACCTAAGGGTTGAATGCAGCGAACGTAATTTTTTTCTCAGCTCTATTTTGTCTCATTACCATTATTCACAAATAAAAATAAACTTTAATTTGAATTCGGTCGCCGCATGCATTGGCTTGCCATATCGCAAACAGAACTCGCAAACGTTTAAAAAATTCTCCATTGTTATAAAAAACAGTTGACATGCTTTCTTATAATGATTCTTCAATAATAAATTACTACAAAAGCGCCTTCACAAGGGATTCCTTTTAAATTTCTTTGTATACAAGTATTCCAATCGTTCAATCGTAAAACGTCGAGAGACAACATTTAATTAGCGATGAATAAGTTTTTCCAGCGCTCGTAGAAAAGACCACGCGACTTTAGTTTCAGTCTGTTCCAAGTCTAAAAAATAATGAATTGATAATTGCAATCGATGTCCCGCAGACTGCAGGCAATCAAGTCAGTCACGCAACTTGGCTTGTTTGTAACCTTTAGAACATTGTTAACGATCTTGAGTTATTTTAATGGTTTATTTAAAAGACTTTCGTTATATAACTAGTTCTATCTGATATTTTAGCCGTGTATTTGTGGCTTATGATAATGTACCATCCTGTATTATACCGCAGGTATTGTAAGTGGCAACAGAAAGAAATAAAAACAGGAGATGGATAGTGGCATCTTCCAATAAATTTACCTAGTAGATCCACGCTGCAGCTATATTATGGTTGTATCACGTATGGATCGGCTGGAGAACCGGAGACCCTTTTTAACGTAAACGAGACATTCCACATTAGTCCTTAGGGTTGGCAACGAATCTACATTTTGATTTTTAATCAAGGAGATGTAGATCTCTATAGACCACAACATTCATGATCGTTTGTCAACCTTATTCTAACATAAAAACAACTCGTGCTTGAGAATCTCCTCGATTGACATGAATTTTTTTGGACGATTTCCAAGGTAATGTTGATGATTTAGATCAGAATTTAATTTTTTTTTCTATTTTTGTTGCAGCTCAAACTGAGACTCCAAACAAGTCAACAGTGCAACACATTCTACCCATGATTGTAACCCGTGCTGAACTCCGTGGTGAACTGAAGTGTGTCGTGTCTTCCGCAGCACTAGACGAGCCGATTGTAAAACGGATAGAACTGGATGTCAAAGGTAAGAAAGAATTTAATCAAATGATACTCGTATTTGTAACATGAATGACATTGACAAAGGTTCTCAAGTGGCATGTCGTACCAGTGAGAGAAGTAAAGGACCCTTACAATAAAAAATGACGACCTGGTAACATATGCAAGGATTCGATAGATGCTGGTGGTTCAGGACCGTGCTTTGTGACATTCCGTGGGGGAGGCCTACGTTCAGCAATGGAGTTGTGAAGGGCTGTTATAATGATGATGATATTGATATGAATGATAGTCATACCAGCGAATTCGCCAGGTATGTATAGAGGAAGTAATTGGAGTGGAAATAATAATAAAAATTAATTTAAATTTACCTTCAAATTCCAAATGTAAATTTATCTTAAATTTTGATTATTTTCAAAGCTAGAATTTGTTACATTTTACTAATATTGTCAGATACGTGACCGTGTTTATTTTTTATTTAATAAAACTGAAGTGAAAACGAACTTCAAGTCTTCCTGATGATAAATAGCTGCTACAGTTTACCTGCAGCCATCTTCAAACAAAGGTACGTTGTCACCTTTGACGACTACGATGAAATGCCTCACATTATTAAATACATACTGTGAGGGATTCCATCTTAGTACTGGTTTTCTGCATCCTTGAGTAAGACCTTAAGCAGCACAGCTTGCACAGCAGTGCAAGGAATATAACTACTGAAAAACCAGGCACTTGGTGATTCTTCAACCATTTATTGCCGACATTCCAGGCGTTCTAACTAAATTTTGTTAGCTTTTGTTAGAAATGTATACAGCTAAGGACTGGAATCGTTTTCATGGTCTTTTCATTCGTTGATGTGTGTCTTCAAGGCCACAGTGAACAGGTTTTCATTACGCTTAGACTGCGATTTACTGAATAACGCTACTTCACCAAATATCACCAGTTAGGATTATATGATAATTATTGTTATCGTGATAAAGCCATGCTGTATTATATATGCTATATTATAGTTACTATTCTATTTTGAAGTTCCTAATCTGAAGAATAGCTTCAGGCAAATGCTCGACCGGGGAAGGACCACGCCCGCACAGAATACCACCACGAGTAGTAGCTCAAACTTGCTGTTTCGAACTCATAGCGAGTTAAGAGAACCATATACCCTTTTACTAGAAATGGGGCATTCTATCTTAGTTCACGGGGTGACAACGCATATGTGTATTTTGATTCTTGATCGAGGGTAAATGTAAATAGATACCACAGCATCCACTTACCGTCACGTGGAATGTGAGCTCGTTGGTTTCCCTCATTCTATTAAAAAACACAAGAACTACCGTATAATAAGTGAAATAAAAACGGCGGGACTCTTAGTTATAAAAAATACTTCAAGAAATGAAATAAGTCCGTCATAACAAGACTCATAGGGAATTTCGTAACCCAAATGTCTAGTTTATTATACGAATGAACTAGCCCGTTCGATCCATTACGTTAATAAAGATGAATGTAAAACTTTGCCCAATTCATCAATATAAGTAAGGACTCAAGCGCTAAGTTTCAACGAATGGTGCCGAGTGACAACTCAACGATGCTCCAGTTTTTCGGTTTAATTTCGCGAAGAAATAAATTTTCATTAGGGGCCGCTTGATACCGCTGTAATTAATGGAGATAATTACCCGAGCACCGTCTTCCTAGCGCGATAAGGGCAGCCCAGAAAAGCTCTTTATAACTTAATATTTTCTCAGCTTATTTGCTTTGGTATTTACGTGACCTTATTTAGATATTTTGCAAAAGCCACTTGATTACTAGCGAAGTAGAAACTCTTGTAACTTAATTTTGATTAAAATAAAGGAAAGTAAATAAGACGCTAACAATACTCAAGTAACCGTTACAGCCTACTAAAGTTTACTGCTGAACGTAGGCCTCCCCCATAGATTTCCATTTGCCATAGTTATCACGTTTGGCAAACAGGTTGGCAACCGTAATTTATTAATATTAGTCGTTATTATAAAAACCTTGCTGGCCATCTCTTGATTTGTTTCCCTCTGTCGCCTCTTACGACAGCCACGAAATGATATGGGGTAGTGGATATTCCTATATCTACTATTAGATATATTACAATTTTAGAGAAAAGCATATTGTGTGGATAACGTTTGTTTAAAAAAGAACTTAATGTTCTAATTAATAAGCGATATATTCGTCAATTGTGAACCATTTTCGACTTCTCTTTATTAAAAATATACAATATTAAAAACTATTAAAAAAAAACTAAAACTAGTAAAGGCTTTAAAGGCTGGCAACGCATCTGCAATTCCCCTGGTGTTGCGGTTGTTCATGGGCGGCGGTAGTCACTTACCATCAGGTGAGCCGCATGCTCGTTTGTCCCCTCTCCTATAAAAAAAAAAAAAAAAAAAAAAAAACTTAATTATCATACAGCCCTACTACCCGCGGTATCGTGACAAGAACGCTGGCTGCGTTTTCCCGCTGAATGGCTATAATTAGCCTTTGAGCGAGAAAAGAACCAGCCCTCTTATCACCAGCAGCAACGACCAGCCGCGGATGGAGTTCTCTACAGCAAATGGCACAAATATATAGTCATCTCTCAGACACCCATATTAGCGCCACTTACTCAGTTCAGTTGCCTCTAATACCACCCCAGCTCTAAACGAGGTACCCCTGAGATGAGAATCCGGCAGAGTGTGTCTACTAGTGTTTATTAAATAGGTTATACTTCACATAAGTTTCGAGAAGTAAGAGTGGCAAAATAGGGGATGAAATTTGCAATGTAACCAATTAAAAGAAAATATGATATTCTTTAGTCCACTTAAAAGGGTTAAAAGTAATCCTTGCTTAAAAGTTGGTAATTTTCTTTATATGTTAATTTAAATCATCACCAACAACCATCACAGCTTATGAAAGTCCACTGCTGAAATTTGCATTGTAATTGCCACAAATGGTAAGCAAGCAATAATAGTGTTATATATATATAGCAATAACGTAGTTTTTTGAAGTGAAAATTTCTTTAGAATGCTTGTGATTTGAAACTCGATGAAACGAAAAAGCGAAACTAAAAAGAGACAAACATATATCATCTATAGGATTTAGACTGCGAGAGAATGAGATAGAATACAGTGACAGTGTTTCCTATTATCTCGATCTCCTTTTCTGAAGGTTTTACTTTCACAGCATTTGAACTGGACACATTTTTTTTTTAAATTATTTTAAATTGTTATCAAAATGATATCCTGCCTGGCAAGTGTTTCAACTATGGTAAATATCCCCGCCTATGAGGCAATAAACGCGGGTGCCTATGTTCAACAGTGGATTTTAATAGGCTGTAAACGATGTAAAATGGATAAATGATTACAAATTCTAAACAAGGTGAAGCGATACTTCACGATTGGACAGCTTCTAAGTTAATACAAAGCTCAAGTACGAACATGCATGGATTATTGTAGTCAGCTTTGTGATGTCTCAGCAAAATTTGAACGCGCCGCACTCGACTTAGTGGATCGCAGACCCAAGAGGCTTATCGGCGACAAAAATCTGGTGGAAACTAAGATTTACAGCCGCCAAGTTGCTTGTATGTCGGTCTTCTACAGATACTTCGGAGAGTGTGCCTATGAGCTTCATAAGCTCATATCGCCTTCTCCATTTACCTATCGGAGTATACGTACTCCGATAGGTAAATGCAGGTTACCATCCACACTTGTTCCACCATAATGCGCACAGCCAAGGAGTCGAATGCCCTGCCGGCGACTGTGACCTCTTCAAGGTGCGTGTTAACAGAAGTGTCCTTAGCAAACTCGCTCCATCGTGGATCTCATCTTTACCCGCAGGCCAGATGTAGGTTTCAAGGTGCGTGTTAACATGCTTCTCCTGAGCAAACTCGCTCCATCGTAGACCTCATCTTTGCTCTTAGGTCAGATGGTGGTCAAGAGCGAGCCCAATTATAATTAAAAAAGAGAAAGATGCTGCTTCTCTCTGTTTTATTTCCTTTTGTTGCCACTTACGACACCCAGAAGGTGACTACACAGCTAAAATTGACTACTAACTAAAGAGAAAGTTAAATGAAATGTGTATCGAACATAATTGTCAACGATTTTTTTTAAATTTCAGACTCGGTAAAACTCAGGAAAAGATTTTGTTTACTAAAATCTCTTCCCAGTTACTTGAAACACTTAACCGGAGCTTAAAAATAATGAAGTCGCATTACTTAATCTCGCCGGACACTCGGTGCTGTGAGCCCAAATTTAGGATGATTTAGTGCAGCAATGATTCAGAATTAACTCGGGCGCTTCTACTTTTTCCTGGATTATCATAATACTATGCAAATTTTTTGGTGTCTCATCGGGTAGTTAGGGATTTTCTTCGCCTCAATCTTGAATTAAATAAAATGATTCAGCTTTTCTTTACTGTTTCCGCTGAGATATTCACAAAAAACCAAGTGCGTCTAGTAAATTCATATCTTTCAAAAGGCAATGTGCCATAAAAGATCAAAAATAAAAATCATGGTTGACGAAAATACACACACGATTTTTCTCATACAAAACGCTATACCGTTACTCTTACAGCATATTAACGTCCACCACTGAACATAGGCCTCCACCTTATAATGCCTCATATTTGACATAGTTGCCAAGCTTGGCAAGCGGGTTGGCAACCGCAGTTTTTTATTTATAATCGTTATTAGAAAGATGCTGCTGTCCATCTCCTGATTTGTTTCCCTCTATCGCCTTTTATGACACCCCCGGGATGATATGGGATGGCGGATATTCTTACACTGCCACCACGCAGTAAACAAAAATGCTATAACCAATAAATAAAAACATATTGATTTTTTTTTGTTTACGCGAACAGTTTCTAATGGTTTTTATCGCGTTTAATAACCTTATTTTATAATCCCGACGCGTTTAGAGTACCTTAGAGTACTACAAGACTGTTTGTACAAAAAGGGTTACACCTGGGAATGAGGTAGATCGCTATACCAAGCTACTTCTAATTTGTTTTGTGTTGTTGATTGTGTAACATACATAATTT